CCCTGGAAGTCTGGAACTCTTCATGCTTACCATTTGCATAATGGAATGCAAGGCGAAGAAGACCATCAGATATAATGATCTGGTTACAAGGTCCATATATTTAATCATGATGACATGATTGATACTGTTTCAAAATGTTGTCATCAGGTCCACTGTGTTTGGATGAACCGATACCGATTCAAACTCTCCTATGACGAGCCTCGAAATTTTACTAATTGCGTGGTCATGATGGGGGTTGATGATACTGATTTGTCAGTGTGTATGCTTTTGTTTTTAATTAGTTTTTGCAGTGCGTTGTTGTAGTATTTTTACATTTAAGGTGTAATCATTTATTTTCCTAATTTAGTGTAATTTGATATTTTTAGATAGATCTTGAGCAAGAATCAGTTTAGAGCAACAAAAGATCAAGGAAGAAAGCTCTTACAAAGAGCAAAGAAGGTGCAAGAGAACAAGAATTGATAGGAAAGTCCTGATTTGATTGTATAGCCCTGTCGGGTATAACAATACTCGATCGGGTATGATTCGACGCAAGTATCAAATAAGATCAAAGGATACCTTTTAACATGGAAAATTAGATTTTTGTCTTATACCCGGTCAGGTATGATGCAAAATGTGACCTTCCTAGCTACTGCAAAGGATGCCCGCTCCGTTATCCTCTATAACTGATCGGGTATCCAACTTAACCTTACCAAAACTTCTATAAAAGCGCATCTTTTCCTTCCCATTTACACATCCATTCTTCCATATATTTGAGCTTAGTCTAGATTGGTATTTTCCTTATATTTCTAGCATGTCTAAACTCCCAATGAGGAGCTAAACTTCTGTATCTTGGTTTTGCTGCTTTGAAGCTTGTTGAATGTTAAAGTTGTGAGTTATTTTCTTAAACTTTTCTTTTTCAGTATTAATTTTTCCCTACTCAAGTTTCTATATTAATGTTAGGGTAGTTAGGGTATAGCTAAGTGATAATTGGTAAACGCTTTACATTAATTACCACTAGACATGATCAATGAACAAGTGGTTAATTATGGATGGTTTCACAAGTAGTAACTTTAGATTATTAATGCATGTTTCTCTTGGTTAATAATCTAAAAGGAAAGTAATTATATTGACTAAATCCAAAAACCACTTGCGTCTATGTTGTTAATCTCAATTTATTTTATGAAGAACTTAAAATATCAAATGCTACAATCAGGTCTGTATACAACGTTTGTTCTACATTTCGCTAAATGACTAATAGTAAGGGTTATTAAGAAACATTGTTGATTCCGATTAAACATACAGAGAAACAATCTAGAGCAGGAGTGAGCAGACTGTTCTTAAAATGTTTTCTTGTGAGACAGAATATGTCGGTCTCACCGAGTTGGTACAAATCTTGATAGATTTGGCTTGCAGTGGAATAGGTAACTCTGGTAGGTTTGCCCACAAATAACACAACGAACAAATTGGCATATACCAACAGTAGGAAACAGTTGGTATATAATATATAAACTGTTGGAATAGGAATCATTTGACAAGAACAAAAATATAAGCAATTCAAACGAATGTTTTATTGCTAGTATGCATTCAGTTAGTATAGAGCAACACCAACATATTTCTTTGCTGTCAAAATAGCTTATTAACATGTACTAGCATAGTACTAACTATTACAGAGCAGTATTTATATGAGATAATTATCCTAGATATGACTAAAACTCATCCAATTTCTCAATATATGACATTATTAGTTAATTAATTAATAAACAAATAATTATTATGGACTGATATGCCCTTAATTATTATTATAAAACACTAACCTCCGACTCATTTTCTCAAAACACTAGCCATCAACCAATGTCACGACATCACCCGCCCTCGTTGCCGCAGCACCACCCGCTCCGCCGCCCTTTTACCGCGGCATCCACCAGCCCGTCGCCGCAGCATCCGCGAGCCTGACACCGCGGCACCCGCCGCCACCATCGCTCGACACTTACTCCACCATCGTTGCGGCCGTCCGCATGCATGTGCCTACCCGCGGCCGCCGCCGCCTCCATGCCGCAACGCTGCGGCCATCTCCACACCGCGGCGCTCAGCTGTCTCCAAGCCGCGACCATCTCCATGTCGCGACGCTCAGACGTCTCCATGCCGCGGCACCGGCGCTGCCCAGCCATCGCCTCCATCTGCACGGCCGCACTGCAACTCACCGCCGCCGCCGAGCTGCCTGCCTCTATTCTCAATTTGTTTTCCTATTTTTGAAATTAGGGTTCGTAGGCATTAAACATGGACAATGAACATAGACAGTGTCCACCGTACAGTGAACATGAAAATAGATATGGTTGCATGTGCGAAGTGAATATAGCAATAAATAATGTTCTATATGGGCAGTGAATGAATGAATTTGTTGGACATTGAAATATATGTTATACATAGTACATAGCAATGAATAAATGCATTAAGAGAGTTTGTTGTGCAATGATTATAACCGGTAGTGCAGTAACACAGAGCAATAATTTCGCCATGAAACACAATATATATTTAATTAGACGTAAAATAATATAATTACTAAGTATAAAAAAATTAAAAATAAAAACTAAAAATAATTTCCTAAAGTGATTTAGAAGAGAATTAATTTTGGCAGAAGTGCAATGATTATTACCGTATGTGCATTAAATTTGTGCAGTAATTTTAATCAGACAAAAATAGTGCAAAATGCACATATTTTAAATAAGGGTATTTTCGTCATTCATCATTTAAATATTAACAAAATTTTCCTTTTTTGGATTTTCGAACATACAAATGCCTAAAAACTAAGTTAGTCATATTTAAGAAAACTCAATGAGTTTTAATCATATCTTAGAGAATTTCCCTATTTATATTTGTCGTTAGTATAGACTTGCTCTGACAATAGTCATTTAATAACTCACATGCGCCCACATAGATTCCAAATTCAAGTAAAACATAAAATATCAAAAATGATATTTGTACCCACTCTTATACCCACTTTTGTACCCACCTATGTTTGTGAAGTGTTTTTTTCTTGTCTGTGAATCCCGGTTCACAGACAATATTTTGCACAAACAAAATATTGTCTGTGTATAAGGTTCACAGACAAAAAAAACACTTGACAAACATGGTGAGAGTATAATAGTGGGTACATAAAAATATTTTATGGGTTTATAAAACTTGGAGATTTCGATTTTAATGCATATTGACAAGCCCAAATATAAAATAAGAAGTTGGCCTAAAAATTGCAAAGTTCCATTTTTTGTTCAAATCCCTCTTTCTCTTTCCATGTTTAATCGGTAATTCTCAATACCTGAAATTAAAACAATTTCTAATAAATTTAGTCAAATAAATAATAAACAAAGTATTTTTGCATAGATGACAAATAAAGATGAATTAAACCATATTGTTATAAGAGTAAATAACTATATATTGCAAATAGTTCTGGCATAAGCACATAGTAGAGATTATTATAAATGATAGCATCACAATCAAAAGTAATCCTTTCTCTTCCTATTAAGATCAGATATAATATGGATTTGAATATAAACTGCCATTTCGGCTTCACATAATGGACTTGTTTGGCAATCAGCGGTTGACGGTTGGCGATAATGTTAGCGGGTTCTAAACAGCGGATTGAATCAGCGGATTTGACCAGCGGATTAGATTGGCGGGTTACAGAAAAATATTTGGTAAATTAACTGTTTACTTTTAGCGTTAATAGATAAAAAGACAAAAAAGGACATTAGTACATTCTACGGAGTATTATTTGTTTCTTTGTTGTAGTTTTGTTTAACACTCGAACTACGTATGATCTTATAAGTATATATTATTTATATATAAGTGAGTTAACTAATAATTTTAAAATTAATTAAAAAAAATATAATAATTGAAACGAACAGGTGTGCTAAAAATGGAGTTCTTTTCAGGAAAAAAAATGAACGAGTTAACTGAATGTTTTAAAGGAGTAAAAATGGATAGGTGGACTAAAAATAACCCTAGCGGCAGATGATTGATGTCGAAGCTTCATGCAATTTTTTTGGAATCATAGCTGTAAGCACTTCATATGCAGAGGAGAGATGGAGGAGATGCTCACAGCTATCATTTTTGTCGTCATGATCTGCATTCACCATCTGTATGACATGATTGAAGAATAGCGGGAGAGAAGAATACAGAGGGGGAAGAAAATTGAGATCGGCAAGGAATGGATGAAATTATGAAAAGAAATACTATCGTAGAATACACCAAAAAAGCTTGAGATAACCTGGGGTTTCTTTTATTGGGAAGAAGCTTGCGATAGTTGCCCGATGATTTTTGCTTCAGAGGAAAGGTCGGAATATGGAATGGAGAATAGAGAAGGGTACGGTTGAGAATGAATAATTAATTCAGAACCGCTGAACCCTAAACGCTTCCTTTTGTAGCGTTTTGGTTTTCGGTGTTTCGGACCAAAACGCTGTTGTAACCCGCCATCAACCAAACGCCTTATTTCAACATTTTGTCCAGTAAAAAACGTCAATTTTGGTCAAACCCGCCAAAAGTTTGAAATGCCATTTACCAAACAGGGCCAATAACAAAGCAATCTATTTTGCAAATTTTCTTTTAACAATCCCAGTAAGTGCTAGTCCTCAATTTGCCTCCCATTGAACCCTTTCAAAGCAATTCTAATAATAGATCAACTAGGTAAGTATTAGATGACCAATACTCTGAAGCAATACTCCCTCTCTATTTAAATGATCTCTACATTAGGTGTTAGCACAAGATTTAAGAGAAGAATTGTAGGGGTAATGAATAATGTAGAAAACATAGGAGAGAAAGTACAAAAGTAGGAAAGAGAATATAAAAAGTAGAAAAGTAAGGATAAATGAGTATTTTTAAAGGAAAAATTTACCAAAAAGGGAAAGTGTAGCAAACTTTTAAATACATCCCAAATAGGAAAGTGTGGCAGACTTTTAAATACAGAGGAGTATTAGTTTTATCAATATGACCCCCACCATCTAACTCACCAAACTAAGTAGTGAGGTTGCATGACCATTTAAATTTAAAAGAACGAGTGCAGTATTTTACCATTCAAGATATTTTAGCTAGAAAGTAATACTCTATGTCCTCATTTTATATTCTCACATGACTTTCACAAAATTAATAATCCCAAATACAAAGATAAAGTAAAACAAAGATGAAATAAGAGATGTCATAAAACTAGACAAGATGATTGGGATGCTTAAATTTTCATGTTATGTAACGCCTTCAAAATAAGAGATTGACAGAGATTATCAGAACCGCCAATGACTAGCTCCCAAATGAAAAATTAATAGTGCAGGACCATCAACTGTTTTTACTAGAAAACTCTCTTCCTTCTTTCTTGGGATAACTACAGAAAAAAAGATCAATCTCATTTAAGGTGAGAGACAAAAGGCAAAGTAAAAATAAAGCATGCATAAAAGGATATAATTTGAAGTACTATCTCTTCAAAAGGTGAAGAGAAACTTATGTCTGTATATGACTTTTTCTATAATCTTTAAAACCTCATTAAATTTAGGAAATTGCAAAGATTGTTGGGAATCCTAAGAAAAACCTAGACCAAATTTCAGAGACGACACACTGGTATTTGTTATATCAACGTGCACTCCAATGATATATGACTATGGGTTATTTGGTTAGAATGCGTATTCATTTTTCAACTGAATTGCATCTATAAAATAAATTGTTTGCCAAATTAGGCTTATTTACGAATCCCTGATAATGCCAAAAGCATTCTTGGGCTCTTAATCCATATCTTCATTCTTGTAGTACTTCTAGTAAGGTACATGTAAGTTATTACTCATCATTTCATTATAGTTCAATGTGTGTTTTTTAGCATGACCTAAGCCAGGTGCTTTAGGCTTTTAGTGAGGGCAATCCTAATTTGTTTATTGTTATGATAACACTACAAAACAGCCTCCTATAAATACTTATTTGAAACTATGGCATATTTATTAGTATCACTCTGTTATTAGCAATCATTCTTTTAGGAATGCTATTGAGTATTGAGCTCTCTAGGATACATTTTAACCCTAGAGGTGTACGTCTCCAATTATATGTGACTCTCTTCTTTGTGTGCCTTATTTTCTGATAAATACTGCACTCATATTCTCCATAAGAACTCACACTATCTTTGAGTAGCACAACATCAGTTTGCTTTTTTCTTTAAGCCAAACTGCAGCAATAATTGACTAAAAGCAACACGATAGATTCATTGCAATTCATTGCTGATTAGGAAGAAGTAAGACCAATGCTACAAAAAGTAGGTATTACAGACCAGAAACTTAATAATTACATGCAATAATTATGGGCAAATGAATCGATGTACAAAAATTTCCTACCTACCATTAACTCATCCAAAGCATGCCATATTTGCCATGCTATACCTCCCCCGGTTGCCAACAGTATGTCTGAACTAAGGCACCTAGAGTCTCAAATTTATCATGTCCTGAAACACAAAGATATCAAAAATTGAAAAAAACTTTTCCTGAAAATGGCACCAATAGGGACCCAATATGTAGATGAATGTCCTGTTCATCAAGTTCTTAAACATCCATAAATATACTGCTCTCAGACAATGAAAACCCCATTGCAGACTTAATTAGCTTACCATCACATGTATTGAAATCACAGATCGGGCATCAAACAAGTTCTAAATCTGCAAGAGTAAGCACAGGTGAAATCCACTGGTGATGTGATATGTGTGCCCCATGGTATTTAAATTTATTTTAGAATCTAAAATTTTGAGCACTAATGTAACTGAATAGATGTGAGAACAATTGTGACATAACAGTTACAAGCCTGGTTTTGTTGGCCATAGCTTTACCTCAAGTAATCTAATTCATTGAATACAAAGTAATTAGTACATGGAATAATTACTACTTGGACTGAAATTTGCCAAAAAGTGACTTTGGCCCTTGGCCTCTACCATTTCCATACTAACGGGTGGTTAAATACCCAACCTAGTTAATTAGGTTAAATACCATTTTTTTAATTAACTAACATGCATTGAAAATTAAGTCTCCATTTCTCTAAATCGATTCACAAGTACTATCTCTGGCATGGGAAAAAATGAACTCTAAAAAAAAGACAGGTTAGCATACCTGAAAAACGAAACTGAAGTCAAATACATCACCTCAAATTTGAAGAAATAACTTGGAAACAATTAGCTAGTACAATGCCGAGCACATTTTTAGACATATAGGAAAGCATGGCAAGCATTATGCTGTAGAGGTTCCGAGCTACACCTAGCACAAATCCATGACTGGTCCAACAAGCATGCTCCTAAATAGTAAAACTTGATCAAACTTTCATAACAGAGAATTACTAAACCAGAAACAAGTCAAAACTTTCGGAAAAGGAAAATTTCAGAATGGCAACCTGTGGTAGGAAGTCTGATGCGAATAATAAACCAGAGTGGGGTAAATTACATGGGCAGTCCAAAATGATTAAACCCTAATTCCTTGAGTAGCGGGTTTAGTCGTTTACCTTTGGACGGATGAAATAGTCCCGCTCTGGTGTTAGCTGACAGTCTAGGTAGTTGCAAAATGCTTCGTTCTTGTTCTTCCCTGCCAATTCCACCATTTCTCTGCTTCATCAACGGATCCACCATGTTAGATCTCTAGATAGCCATCTGGTAGCAATGTCAAATTTAGCCTTTGCCAATCTGTCAAGCCGAATGTAGCATACTTGGACTTCTTTCCTAGTTTGGGCAGAGGAGGTGGTGGCAGAATTGCAGGCTTCTTGAGACGATTCTGCTTATAGTACCATTCGACCTGTTCTGAGGAAAGTGGGGTCAAGCTTTGTTTGGGCATGGAAATCTGGAGGTCAATTCTGGGATGCTCTGGGACTTGCTTCCTCTTTTATCCCCTTTTTAGCATTAGCAAGATCACCAATGAGGAATTGGAGCTTTTGAAATTCATTCTTCTGCTTACTTTTGAGGTCCTCAATGGCATTAGGCAGAGTCTGGCTGACACTAGCTAACCCATCAAGCGAGTCTTGTTGTTTATTGGCTTGGTCCTTCAACTCTTGGACAAGAACCTGAATCTGGTTCATTTGCCTGCTCTTCTCCTTGTTATAGGTTTTAAACTCATCAAGCGTCTTGATCAAGTAGGAGAGAGCAGTATTCTGACTGTCAACCTTTCCTTGCAGTGTTGACACAGCAATCTGTATGGCCATGACAGATTTTGATAGAGAATCCAATCTTTCATTGGTCATTTTCTTGAAGATCTTCTGGTCCTCAACAACACCGATCTGCCTGTTGCTGTCTTCTGTTATCATCTGTCGAAGGTCACCTTGCATGTAGGTATCGATATCTGCAACTTTGTAGGACGAGCTCTTCTGTATATCGACTAGGGCTTTGACGCATCCCATCAGATTTGTCTCAAGATCTGCTACAACACCCATGATTGCTTCCAAAGGTACAGTAGGCTGTTTTGAAGCAGATGAGGATGTGTGACCAGTGTTAGTTGGTCCTCCCAGGCCTTTGGATTCTGGCAGAGTAGAAGTGTAAGAAGAAGAGGGGGTTATGGTTGTAGGCTTGGTTGAAGATGGTTTTCCAGAAGAGATTTCTTCTTGAAGCTTCTGTATTTCTGCCTTTTCGTCCTCTTCATTGTCAAATCCGATGAATCCTCCCATATCATTAGACTCTGAGTGATCATGATGATAATGGGGAAATGTCTTTGGTGATTCTGGATCAGGGGGGTGTTTTCTAGATTTACGGGAGTTTGGTGCCGACAAGGCAAAAATACGAGCTTTTTTATGGGATTTCTGAGATTACGGGAATTGGGTATATTTCACAAAAGCTTCAGATTATATGTATATCTGACAATGTGTTTTATTTACTTTAACTTCGATTTTCTCCCTTAGTGTTATTGTTATTATTTACTTTATTTATTAATAAAAAATCACTTGGTTTTTGTACGGACCACAAGTTTTGTTATAAAAAATTCCTTAATAGGAGTAAAAACGTTTTGAAATTTTAAAATAGGACTATCATATTTTTTATTTCTGAATAGGAGTAAAGTAAATTTCTTCCAAGTTTGGCATTACTAGACTTTAAACCTGACATTTCTTCCCAAACTTGGCAGAGTACTCTTATTCAGGGGATAAAAATCATGATAGTCCTATTTTGGAATTTCAAAACGTTTTACTGCTATGTAGGGCAATTTCTGTTTTGTTATTACTCCACAGTTAACATTTAATATTTACTCCACATTTAACATTTGATATTCCTCAAATATTTGTACATAATTGTCTGTGTAAATAAGCAATGCAGCACGAGCAGCATGTGTACACTATACTAGTGGGTGTACACATTATCTGTGTACACAGACAATACCGTATAAATGTATCCAAATTGTGTACAAATTGAGTGTATAAATAGATTTTTTCTTATCAGTTTTATAATTTCATATTATTTGTTCTTTGTTCTATTAATAAAATATATTTCTTATGTAATTTTTTAAAATTCAACAGATTCAGGCATTCAGCCAAATTTTAATCAATTTCAACAGAATCAGCATATTCAATCAAACTAAATAATTACATATTTATGACTAAAATAATAATCATGATATATAATAACTAAAATAAAGATGGTTGAAAAATATGTGGCATCTTAAGTGTAATAACTATAGCTGTAACGTTCAGCGACTATTTTTATGATCAAGTTTTACACTTTAGTGACTATGATGTTATACTCATAATAACTGTAATCATATTTTTGTTATTACTTTCATAATATATTTAGAAAAACCCACTACATAAAGATTGTTTTAAAAAATGTGACATCTTATTTGTAGTAATTATACTAGTAATTTAGTTATAATAACTTATGTTCAATTTGTACACTTAAATTACTATGAAGCTACCATAATAATTACACCGTATATTATTAGTCATATTTTTGTAAATAAGTTTTAATTCGTTAATATTTTTTAAAGACCTTATTTTCACAGATTAATAATGAGATATTTAATATTCCAGTTTAACTAAATTTCACTTATATTACTCGTATTGTCTATTCCTAAACAAACGGAACAAAAAAATTCATTTAAATGTAATGGAAGATAACATGTTGGGACAAACATGTTTAGTTGGACACGGATCGATGCACCAACTAAAATCCGCATCCACAAAAAAAAAGATTAGCCCATTCCCACTAATCCACTATCTATGGAGAGAGAGGGGGATTGAAAAATTTTATATTCCCGTATTTTCATACACAAAAGAGCATCTTCGTAATTTGGGAATGGGTACGGGAAAGTCCCGCATATCCGTCCTTTCCTCGGATCGGGGACAGGCTCTGACACGGTTTTGGGTGAGTGTTGGGGAGTGGGTGAAGCAGATTTAGGTGGTGTAGGGGTATTCTGGTGAGGTGGAGATAGTTGAGGTGATGGAGTTCTCTGGTGTGGAGTGGGTTCAGAGCTCTGGTTAAAAGGTGATTGGGGTGGTGTAGAGAAGGGTGTAAGAGGTTTTTGTTGGGTAGGAGGTGGAGTAGGTAAGTTGGTGGTATCGGGTTGGTGGTCTGGTTCTGTGGAAGTGGGAATGGGTGTTTTTGGTAGGACGGTAGTGGATTGTTGTAAGGTAGAGAAGGTTTCTGGTGAAGAGGGAGGTGAATCAGGGAAGGCAACAAATTTCCCTTTTCTCTCTTGTTCCCAAATCTGCCGGAGCTCATTCATGGCAGTGGGGTAGCTCTTCTGTTGGGAGTATTCCCTTGTGTCCCCTCTTCGCATCAACCACTCATCAAACTCTGCATCCTCAAAGTTAATGCATGTGGCCTCTTGTTGTGGTACAACCATTTCTGATATAGAGTTCCCTCTCAGGGCTGACTTCTTCTCTTCCAAAATTCCTTCAAGGAATTGAAGATCCAGACATTTAACAATGTCTAGACACCCTATCCATTCCAGGACATAGGGTTCTTCTGTCATGTAATGATCGACCTGTCTGATAAGGTCCTCAAGTGGACTTAATCTCCATGTCCTCCAAGCCTGGACCCGAGCAAATTGGTTATCTAAAACAGAGATGTCAATGATTACCTCTTCTGTGGTGGTGGTGGGTAATTCTGGTAGAGAAGATTCTGGTAATACAGCTTCTGGTTCAGTCAGTTCTGGTAGCACAGACTCTAATAACACCGGTTCCTCCAGAATATGAAGATGTTGATCTTGTTCCCCTTGAGTCTGTTCCTCCTCAGATTCAGAATCACTTTCAATTATTCTCTTTGAGGGTCTCTTGATCCTTTTAGCTTTCTTGGAAGCCTTCTTTGGAGCTTTTCTGGTAGGTGCCTCAGGTGCTTTCCTCTTTGAGGTCTTTTTTGTTGAATTATTGTTCCTCTCCGCAGCTATGGCAATGTTGCGGTTGGACGTGGTATGCAGAAAGGCAACCTTCCTGTAGTCCACAGCAAGCTTGTTCCTTAAGGAGATTCCTGCTTTCTCCAGATATGCAGACAGGAACAGCCCATAGCCCACTTTGCTTGACAGAGTTTTGTTATCGTTTCTCTTTGTCAAGAATGTGGTGAGGCATTCAAAGATTACCAAGCCCCAGTTGACCTTTAATCCCAGCCGAGTAGCAACCAAAGCTTTAGCACCAGAAATGGTCATGTCGTCGGTAGACCCTGTCTTGCAAAATAGGCATTTGTGAATTAAGTCCACTGTGCGCTCATAGTCTTTCTTGAGACACCACTTCTTGGCATTGCATTTCTGCAAATTCTGGTATTCTGTTCTGAAAAATATCTCACAGAAGGCCTCAGTTTTGAGCTCTACATCTTCCAGACAGATGAGTGAGCCTTCTGCAGCAGATTCGTCTTCTGCAATGCTGAAGAACCTGTTGATGCTCCCTACAGTTAATTCAACCTCTCGTTGATTGACGGTGGAGGTGATGGTTGTTGGAAAAATGTGTGAAAAATTGCATTAAATGGCTATTTTGGGGCAATTTTTTGAGTGGGGTCCACTTCCGATTTGGGTCGGGTCAAAGTGGTTTCGGATTGTCCTTGCTTAGGGCTACAATTCGATATATGGTACGCTCAAAACGGATAACGGGTGAATGAGAAATCGCTTTTCGAAGTTGACCCGTTAGAATGGAAAAACTGGGAAAAAGGATGGGTTTCTAGTGTTAATTTCCTACACCGGAAAACCCAAGGGATTTGCAACCCTTTATAAGGGATCTCCCCCCTTGAGGAGTTAAGATTCTTAAGGGTAAAGGCTCTCTCCACGCGCGCAGGGGGGGGTGCAAATCAAATCCCGAAATCGGAGAAGAAAAACCGCGACTTGCGTGCGCGGGCGACCTGCGGACACGAATGTCGTCCAAAAATCCATCTCTCAAGAGATACGGGTAATTTTTGTTTTCTTCCCGAAACGTATATTTTTCCCAGTTAGCAGAATTGCTCCGGGCAGAAGGCCACGACCAGAGGTGCTCCGGTTCTGATGGCCGCGCATCAGAACTGCTCCAGTTCTGATGGCCTTCGGGCAGAGATGCTCTGGTTCTGATGACCGCGCATCAGAACTGCTCCGGTTCTGATAACCGCGCATCAGAATTGCTCCAGTTCTGATGGCCTTCGGGCAGAACTACGTAGGGGTCTTCTGATGGCTTCTGAACCGTTACAGCAATAAATGCCCAACGTTTATATCTTTTAATGCAGCGTTAAATGGACAGTTCATGGACGATTCAATGCCCAACGGACTGGTCATTGATGTCCAACGTTCAGGTCCATTAATTCACTATTTTCATACAACAAATCCTCCTATATAAAGGCTGGCAGGTGGTTTGCAACAACACAAGTTCTTACACGATTTTACACGAATCCATACACGTTTTAGCTCTAAAAACACACTGCTAGCACTCTGAAAATTCCTTCTGAGTTCAGTCTTTGTTCTCGTTCGCTGGAACTTTTGTTTGAGTGCTCAAACACTAGTTCGTTGTCATCGTATCCTGGGAAACTATTGTTGCAACGCTCCTAGCACCGTGGGAGGCAACAAATACGTTTTAAGGACATCGTGCGTAGCACGAGCTTTGACAAATTCTGCTTCATCTCCTTTCTTGTTTTTCTTTCGTCATTTTATTTAATTAATTTATTTTAATTAATTTTTCTTTATTTTCCGAAACACACCCTACAATGGTAGCATCTACTCTGTCAGCATTGAGATAGAACTCTGCCACATCGGTCAAACTGTAAAACTGGTAAGGGTAGGTCACAACCTTAGCCAGTTGGGAGTTGGTGAGGCCAGTGACTATCCTCTTCATTCTCTTTGTGTCTTTTGCGATTTCCGGTAGAGCCGTTAGGTCACAGACCATACCGGTGTAGATTCTGTCCAGAAATCCTTTGATTTCTTCCGCGGTGAACTCAGTGATGATGTAGATGTTTTGAACGGCCATCGATGGAGCTACAGAGGTATTCTGCAAACAAAATAATACTACGTACTTTATTTGTTAACTTCATTTGAAAACATTGCTGCAGAATTTTCAAAAGGAAACATGGGCTTTATCCCAACACTTGGTTCTCACATAACCAAGTGTTGAAAAAATTGTCTTGAAAAAAAATGAATTATCGTCAATTATACAAATGCCAGTACAAAAAGAAAACAAAGGAAACAAACTATTCTAGTCTTTAATTGCTTATTATCAAATAAGATTTACATTTTTCTTTTATTCACTTATTTCACTAATAAGTTAATAACTAATCCATCCGTATAATCTACTTATTCATAGCTTATCCACTTATAACAAATTTATACATTTATTCACAATTAATCATTTACATCAATTAATTATTTAATCAGCTTATTTTATTTTTAATTCGTTTGTAGTTATTTTCTCATACTAATCTAATTCCGTCTTTATTATTTGCCGGTCCATTAATTTACTATCCAATAACTTAATCCATTATTTCTTCCATTTGTTTTATTCTGCCAACCTTATCAGCCAGAACGTTTATAATTAATTTAAAAGTGACAAATTCAATAAAAGGGCCAAATTACCGTATTGATTAAAAAAGAGGGTGGTTTATCGGATTGGTAAACAAAATATTTGAGACAAATTGGTAAAAAAAAAAAAAGCTCTCGTGACAAATTAGCCATTTTTTTAGTGAGACCCTTGTGATCATCAACTTTAGAGTGCCCGACATTTTATATCCTGTATTGTGATATTGAAGTTTCCACTTAGGGACGGAGGTAGGTATATGATGTGTGTCGTTTTAACACCAAATTATAAACTAACTAGCACGTAGATATGGAAAGTTCAGGCCGATCCCACAGGAAGTTTGGATGATTAACTACTAATTCTCAAATTATTAAAATCAAATATTTTTAAATCGAAAGAAATTAAAAATGCAGAGCATGTATAAAATAGATTAAAGAGTAAATAGAGATTAGATTATATAAATAGAGATTCCCAATTCCAAGTTTTAACTCATGTAAGTTTAATCGATCATTGACAAAAGTAATTTATTCATCATAATAGTTGGCGTAGATTAATTGCAAACGCAAACTAAAAGCGACAAACGCCGTCAATTAAGTCTAATTGATTCCTAATCTTACAACAAATGTTTAAGATTCAAGGCTCAATTGCATTAATCTTTGTGAATTTTTAGCCAACACGAATAATATTACCCAAACGGGTGAATATTCAATTTGTATCTATATTTCTCTAGATGGTTCATAAGCACTTAGTTACTACTATAATGAACCCTAATTTCAACAAATCAGATTTCAACTAGCAATAAACTCACAAGAATAGTAAATAAGTATGCATCCAAATTAACTAATCTCATGAATTCAACTGAAATTGATTCACAAAAATATAGAATACTATGCCAAATAAATCATTAAGCACAAAAATCTCATGAATTAAACTGTTGGTCCAAAATAGGACGCTCGTAGGCTTTTAGGAAAGCTACGTAAGGACACTCAAGCAGAAATCAGGAAAGCAATACGAATAAGGAAAGTAGCTAGAGAGTTTGATAGCCAGAAATAACTTGTCTATTATTTGAATCCAACTTGCCTTATATAGGCGATTACAAATGGTAACTGCCAAACGTTATAATGGCTAATTTAATTACCATATTAATACATAATTAATCACATAAATAAATATCGTATTAATGCCTGGCCGTTACTCTTCCCTGGTTGGCTGGCCGTTGCTCTTCCCTGGCTGGCAGGCTGGGCGCTCGGGCTCCCTGGGCGACAGGCTTCCGCTGGGCCGGAATCAGGCTCCTCGCTAGACCGAAGACAGGCTTCCGGTTGGGCCGGTAGGCAGGCCTTCTTGGGCTTCTGCTCCGCCGGACTTCCACTCCCTGATGGGCCCGGTCGGTTGGGTCGACCTGATACCTGATCGCCGGGTTCACTAGATGGGCTTGCCTGGCGAGACAACAGCCGTGGGCTTGGGCCCGCTGATCCAAGTTTGGGGCCAAGTCTGATTAGGCATTGGGCCTAGTCCCATAATCCCATCACGAGTCCCCCACTCCCTTAGTCGAGTAGTAGACTCGGCTAAGAGGGAGTAGTCCAAGTCAGGCGTCAATTAGAAAATATTCACATACCAGTGAGCAATAATTGCGGATTCTGTCAAATCCACAATTTATGGAAATTTTCCAATTTTAAATAAAACTCTCAGCTTAAAAAGGCTTCAAATTAATTCCGTCAGCATCCCAGCATTCCAACAGTCAGCTTTCTTCCAGGCTTCAGAATCCAGGTCAGCTTCCGAAAATTCCTGAAATTCATCATAATTATTTTTTTGTAATTATTTTCGGACTAAATTTTTTCCTTTTTTTTTTCTTTTCCCCTTTTTTCCTTTTCTTTTCTTTCCTTTCCTTTTCTTTTCTTTCCTTTCTTTTTCTTTCCTTTCTTTTCTCTTCTCTCCCCTGGTTCCCTGCGTGCGTCTTCCTCGCGTCGCCCGCACTGCCTCAGCGCCGCAGTCAACCCAAGCAGCGGGCTGACCGCCGCTTTCCCTCCGGCGGCTCTACTGGGTTGACCCCGCCGTGCTAGGCGGCTGTCCCGCGCCGTCCACCGGTCTGAGCGAGTCCGGCCTAGCAGTCCGGCACATCTGGCCGGCCGATCTGAGTGGGCTGACCGCCGTTTTTCCTCCGGCGGCTCCACTGGGTCGACCCCGCCGTGCTAGGTGGCTGTCCCGCGTCGCCCACCGGTGACGATGCCGCCCTGGCAGTCCGGCAAGCCTGGCCGGCCGGTCTGGCCTACTACCGCGTCCGGCTGGTGTGCCTCGCATGGGCCGGCGGCCACCCCCTGCCGGTCGGCGTCTCCCAGAGGTAGGCTTCCCGGCGGCTGGGCGCCCTACTTGTCCATCTCTCCGGTGCTCAGGCTGTTCGGAGAGCTGCCACCGTGTTCTCTCCCTCCTTGGGTTGGCGGAAATCCATGCACGCGTATGATGACCGGGTCCACCTCACTGCCGGCTGCCGGTGGTGCCGGTCCTCCCCCTAGTTGGGCGATGAGCCAGACTGGGTCTTCTTTCCGCGTCGCCCGGCGCTTGGTTGTTTTACTTCTTTGTTTTGCCTTTGCAGGTTTGGCTTCCCCTTCCGCTCTTGAATCATGCAAGGCATTGGGCGCTTTCCCCATAAAAACGGCGGCCAAGACTCCCCTTCAGCTGTGCAAGTTGTAGCCGAGCCCCTCCCCAAGCCATCAGACTCGGGACTACCAACCATCACAGAAGGAAAGCGTGGGGTGGCCGCGAGACCTGTGCGGGTTAGCCGTGGCGCTCGACCACATACGCCTGCGGGGGAAGCCACTGGTCAGCAGGTCGACGTCTTCCCAGAGATGGCACCAGCTAGGCGGGCCACTACTCCTGATAGCCAGCAACTGCGTGTTCCAAATAGAGCACGAGCGCAACATGTGGTCGTGTCAGATTCTGATGAGGATTCGAGTGCTCGGGAGGACCCGAATCTTTGGTGGGGCCTCGATAATAGCGGGGTGGCGAACCTCTCCCCTCATATCCAGGACGAGGACCTTGCCGTTGCCTACAGCCTGATCGGTGCCAATTGTTCATTGAGAACTCCGGAGGCTACTGAGGTACTGAGTGATCCCCCAGTCCATTACTTCGGGGTCCATATTCGCTCTCTGGAGTTAGGGATGGCCGTGCCTCTGCATCCTTTTCTGGTTCGGTTCCTCCTCTTCTTAGGTGTGGCCCCGGGCCAACTGGCTCCGGCGGCTCATATGTTCGTTGCAGCTTTTGTAGCGCGATGTGAGGATGTGGGCCTCACCCCCACAATCAGTTTGTTTTTTAGCTGCTTCCAGTGGCGCGCCTCCAGCTTTTTTGCCTCAGTTTCCCAGAGGCCGGTGAGCAAGCTATTCCGGCCGGGTTACCCTGACTCAGGTAGCCGATGGAAGAAGAGGTGGATCTGGGTGTCCGACCCCACCCTTCTGTCACCTCCATTTCAGTGGGGTGAGCGGCTCCGGAAGTGTGATCGGGTCGCCCTCTCCCCTGACCTCAAGTCATCCATCGAGATGTTGTCCGCAGGCGGTCCCCGCTCCATCAGCTCATACTTAGGTGATCGTCACTCCCTCACTTTATGGCTACTCTGTATTTCACCTTTCTCATCCTCACATTTTTCTTCCGCAGGTGTGCCTGATAGGCCTGAGAAACCTATCGTTGGTGCCGAATCTGATGACGATGACGAAGAGGCCCAGCCATTCATCGCTCGTGCAATTCCCACAGCCACCAAGGAAAAAGAGCGTGGAGCTCCCCCAAACCGTGTAGCACAGATTCCGAGGAGGGTGAGGGTTACCTTTGGGCCTCAGCCTGTCGCACCAGCGAAGAAGAAGCAGAAGAGGGATATTGTCGACTTACTGGTCGAATTGGATGAGTCTGATGACGAGGAGGTGGAGCCTCATGTAGCCGCTGCTCCTGTGCTCCCCCAGGTCGCTGCGGGGAAAGGGCACGGAGCCCCCCCGTGCCGAGAGGGGCATGTTTTGGAGGGGGCGACTGTCACCCCGGAATTCCAATCCACCGGGCAGGTGCATGAAGATGCTGGTGAGAGGATGGCTGAGCGGGTTAGCTGCGACACTCAGCACATAGTTGCTTACACATTCCCATCTCCGAGTGCCTCGATCATGCACGAGGGCTTCCCGGTTGTGGACTATGCTTCAGCGATCTTGCCGCCGGGTGACCTCGCACGTATGACCTCCCAGGGGTTTCAACCCCTCTTGGAGGGTTCCATTCGAACCCATGTTGATGTGAGTGGCCGATCACATCTCCGGCATACTTTGTTTTACTCCTCGATTCCATCGTATTTTGTTTGTTTTGTTTTGCAGGGACTTGCTAAGACCATTGGGGCACTTTGGGCAGCCAACCATTCTCAAGCAAAGCTCCAGCGTGAGGTTGATGAAGTTAGAGCCGCCCTACAGGCTAGGGAGAAAGCCTTCTCCGAGTTACAACTTTTGCATGCAAGAGAG